TGAGGCGTTCGAAGCCTCCCGCATTTTTAATACAATCCAATTTCCCCTTTGCCTCTGATAGCCGTCTTTGGTCCAGAACGTGTCTCCGACATTCCAATGCCCCTCGCCACAAGGTGCCTGTCCTCCGCAGTCTACATTGCAATGGCCTTCGCCTCGCCGCGAGACTCGTCCCCATCTTCGGCCTCCCGCGGTGCTTTTCCGCCTGCGGGGAGGGACCGACGCGCGTCTGCGGCCGCGCCTGTTCGCGCTACTCCTCAGCCTGAGTCTTTCACGGTCGCCTCCTTTAACTTCGGGTTCGAGCAGCCAATGATGTCCGGAAAGAGATCCAGCACCCACTGCGCCAACTTTGGGCGGGTGTGCGCCACGATCGTCGGGGACGCTGATGCTGACCTCTTCTTTGCGCGCGAAGTCGGCGCGTTTCGTCAGGGCCCGAGCAAAGCAAAAATCCACGTGGATGACATCCTGAAGAAGCCGTTCGGCGACAGCGTTCGCTTCTTCGAGGTCGACAACTACTTGGGCTCGTGGGGCTTCGGCGGTGCTTCTCAGCCTGCCGTCGTGCCCCTGCGCGGCGACGCACAGATCTACAGCGTCCCCATCGGGCGACAGGTGGACGCTGTTGTCGCACGGTTCAATGTGCAGACGAGCGGCCATAGCAAAGTGCACGTGATCACCAGCAATATGCACATCGTTTGCGGGGGCCGGCCTCCGAGCATTGACGCGCGACGGCGCGCAGTGAGGCTTCTCCGACTCCACTTGGACGGCCTCGAGGCACCAGAGCTGGACACGCCAGTCGTGCGCATCATGGTCGGCAACAACAACCTGAACTCCCAGCAGGCGCGCGAAGCTTTGCAGCGCCGCAGTGACGACGAGGCACTGTGGGAGGTCTTCGCCTCACCGGCGGACCGTATCGGCGACAATGCGGCGGTCTGTGGAGCCGTCGCGCGTTTCCGGCCCGTCGCTGTTGGCGCGTCGTACCTGGGCCGTGGCATGCGCAACGACTCGCGCGATGCTGTCGCGGTCATCATCGCCCTCCGCGGTGCTTCTCAGCCCGCGGTGGAGAACAAGAAACGGAGGATTGTCTTCGGGGACTTTTCCGCCTCCGACGCGTCGGCGCCTTGTGCGTCAGAAGCCGTTGCCCAGACCCACGACGAGGTCACCCAGCGCGCGCGCGACCTGCACAATGAGATGCGACAGCAGTGGGATCACAGGTACGACGCGCAGCACGACCCAGAACTCCTCCACCACTTGAGCCTTTTGCTCTTCAAGAAGAGGAAGTCCGTGGAGCCTGCGGACGGAGATTCAGCTGGTGCTCCTCAGCCTGGCTCAGCTGGTGCTCCTCAGCCTGGCTCAGACTACGACGCCGCCTTCGCGTCGCAGGAATAGACGGCTCGAGCCATTGCGTCAGTCCTCCAGGTCAGACATGAGTTTCTGCGGAGCAAGAACATCGCCGACTTGCGCCACGTCCTCACCGACGCTGAGCGCGGAGAGCTCGTAAAACGTGCTCGAGAAGACTACGGGCAGCCCGACCGCCAGCTTGCGCAGCAGGAGCGAGATGCCGAGAAGGGGAAAGCGAAAGGCAAGACTCGCAGTGCTTCTCAGCCTGCGAGCATGGGGAAGGGCCAAGGGAGCCTGGGCAAGTTCCTGAAGGAGCAGCGGCGCAAGCGATGGTGCCGGCATCTGCAACGCGTTTGCGGCGCCAAGCAGATCTGGGAGGTGCTGGCCTCCTCCGGCCGCTTCGATGTTGACATGCTCCGCCAAGCCTTGCACGTCCGGCCCGGTGATGAAGCCGCAGGGCCACCCGCTCGCGACGAAGTCCCCCAGGAACAGCGCCGCCGACTTCGTGCAGATGCAGCGCGTCACAGACCCGCTGCAGGTCGATGTCCTTCACGCCATGGGGGCTCCAGGCGGCAAAAAGATCTCTGACGAGAGCTGGCAAGCGATCCTCAAAACAGAGATCGTTAGCTCCAGCGGTGCTGGTCCGCCTGCTGCCGGCGCCAGCGAAGCCGCCCAGCAACCCCAGTGGGGCCGCCGATTGCGTGCAGCCCGAGGCTGGTACGAGTCGGCATATGCGTGGCGCATCGTCTCTTGCGCCATGCATGCGAAGGCCAAGCTTGATGCACGCGATGCTGGCCAGCTGCTCTTCTACGCGCCGGCAGTCGACAGACCAGCTGCGCGCCTCGCGAAGCCTGACTTCGACAAGATGCGCGCGGGGCCCAACCAACATCGGCGCTACTGGAAAAATGCCGGGGCTGCTGCCGCTCTTCCTCGGCGTGGAGGTCATCCTGACGGAGTCCGTCTCGCCGCCTAAGTATGTCCGCGGCACGCCGGGCAAGGTGGTGGGCGTAGAGCAGCACGCTCTGGAGCCTCCGGCGGAGGGTCGCGCGTCCGTTGTCTCGGATGGCGTTGCGGTGCTGGGCTACATGCCCAAGGCCGTATATGTCAAGATCGATGACAGCGATGAGCTCTTCTTGAAGGCCGCGCCGGTGACTGCTGGCAGTGCTTCTCAGCCTGCCGGCCCTGACCCGCGCGGGGCGCTCGCGATTACCCCGCAGGCCCGCCCCTGGAAGTTCAAAGCAACGGCGGATGGCCCGGCCACCGCGGTCTCCAGGACACAGTTGACCGTGCTGCCCAAGAAGCAGGGCACTCTGCATGGCGTGCAGGGCAAGACGGCGGACCCAGGCTCCATCGTGCACTGGGCGTTTCCGCCAGGACTCAAGAAAGAGTCCATTTGGCTGGCCTACCACGTCAGCCTGTCGCGGCCCCAGAGCTTCGGCCAGCTCTTGAGCCACGGCTTGCCTGACCGGAGCATCATCGAGTCAGGCCCCCCAGAACAGATCGCGACGGCCTTCGACGAATTCTTCGCAGACAAGATTGCCGCGACAAAAATCGCCTGCGCGAAGGCCCGACAGGCGCTGGGCTGGCCTGCGCGAGCTTGAGGAGCCCTGAGATGCAGCCTGCTTCGTGGCGGTGCTGTTCAGCCTGGCCGTCTGCGTTCGCGTGGTTCTTCTCAGCCTGCATTCGCGTGGCGCTTCTCAACCTGCACTCGTGCGCAGCCGTGGATAGTGAGATACGGTGCTCCTCAGCACGTTTCGTTCGAGGCTGAATCCATTGATAGCAGTGTCTCGTTTGGACTTACATCCATTTATAGCAGCGTCTCGTTTGGTATGAACACAAAAACAATGTGCTGTCTCGTTGATGGCAGTGCCTCCTTTGCAGAGACATCCACTATTGATAGCAGCGTTTCGTTTCCAGACGCATCCGTAGTAGTAAGTAGTAGTGTCTCATTCGAAATTAAATCCATTGATACTCGCGTCTCGTTTGGGGCGGAAGCTATTGATAGCAGCGTCTCGTTTGCGCCTGCACCACTGCGTAGCAGCGTCTCGCTTGGAATGAGCACAAAAAGAATGTGCTGTCCCGTCGATAGTAGTGCCTCCTTTGCAGACGCGTCCACTATTGATCGCAGCGTTTCGCTTCCAGTCAATTCCGAACATGAATCTAAAGAAGACTGCTTCCATATATGCTCATACACATGGCTGTTAGGTTGCTTTGCTGGGATAATTTTAGAAGCCCTGGCGGGGGGAAAACCCGCCCCCCCCCCCCCCCAAACCGGATTCTCGAGATCTGCGGGTTTTGGGACCCCCCGGACGGGCCTCGAAGCGGTTCCCGGGCCTCGCAAGGCGTTTTGCCAAGCCATCCCAGCACACCTATAGGGCGATCGGAGGGGGTCATCGGAGACGTCCCAGGGACCCCCAAGACAGCACAAGAGCGCTCCAAGAGTGTCCGACGTGACCTCAAGATGGCCCGAAAGGCCCCCGGGGCTGCCCCAAAGAGGCCTCCAAGAGCACTCCCAAGAAGGCCCCAAGAGGCAAAAATCATTGATTATCTGATGGTTTTTGGTGAATTTTAAGGTTATCCTCTTTTCGGCTTCCCGACGTTCCAAGACGGCGGTCTTCTGGGCGTCCGAAGCCGCCTGGGAGGCTCCCAAATCGCCCCGCAACCATCCGAAAGGGCTTCCGGGCAGTCCAAGAGAGCCCCAAAACGGCACAACACGGGTCCAAGATGGCCCTCGGAGAGCCCCGTGGCGGCCCAAGATGGCCCCAAGACACCCTCCGAAGCATTCCATATCGTGACCCGGTCGTTCAGGGAGACCGCGGTTGGAGGCAGGGTGGCCCGAGGAAGCCCCCAGAGGCCCCCAGAATACGCCCAGGAGGCCTCCAGAAGGCTTTAAGGAAGCCTGGAACAACTTTTATGAGGCCCCCAGAGGCTCTCCAAGGAGGAGCCTCCGCAAAAAAGAGCTGAGGAGGATGGGGAGAATGCCCAGGGTATGGCGAAAATGCGGAAAAAGAAGCATGGAGGAAGGATAACGAATAACATTATTATAGCGGCGATGCCGGAAAAGGCAACAAGGAGTTATCGCTAAATTGTCGGCTTGGCCTTCCTGCTATTCCACCTGCATGCCAAGCTTCAAGGACCAAGGTGCATGGCGCGAAGCGCCACTGCAGTCTTGTATGTATGTATGTATGTATGTATGTATGTATGTATGTATGTTTGTATATATATATATATAACGACCACCGCCGACAGGAGTGAGACAAGTGAGAAGGCCAGCTAATTCGGTCACGGGGCCCACCAGAGCCAGAATCATCATCATCATCATCATCATCATCATCATCATCATCATCATCATCATCATCATCATCATCATCATCATCATCATCATCTTCCTGCCCCTCCTCTTCCTTCTCCTCTTCCTCCTCCTCCTCTGCGCACTTCGTCGTGGCCTTGCGCGCGCCCGCCACCCCGGCAACGCGAACGACGAATGCGGCCGGGACGTCCCCCTCCTCCTCCTCGTCCTCCTCCTCCTCCTTTTTCTCCTCCTCTCCCTCCTCTTCTTCCAACTCCTTCTCCTCCTCCTCCTCCCCCTCCTCTTCTTCCTCTTCCTCCTCCTCCTCTTCCTCTTCCCTTTCCTCCTCCCGGCCTGCTCGCTTCCATTTTGCCAGGGAATCACCGCCGACGACCTCGCCCAGCTTCGCGCCGCTGCGCTGCGGGGCCTCCGGTCACCGGACGCCCGGGTCGTGCTGCAGGCCTCCAATGGGACGAGGAGAAGGAGGAGGACGACGACGACGAGGAAGAGGAGGAGGAGGAGGAGGAGGAGGAGGAGGAGGAGGAGGAAGAGAAGGAGGGGGAAGAGGAAAAGGAGGAGGATGAAAAGGAGGAGGAGGAGAAACGGGGGTTTCGCGGGAAAGGAGGAAAAGGAGTAGGAGAAACGGGGAGGATGAAAAGGAGGAAAAGCGGCTGGGGTTTCGCGGGAAACGGGCGGCCCCAGTTGCCCGAACGCAAAACGCCTAAGCAGCAAGGAGAAGGAAGAGGAGGAGGAGGAGGAGGAGGAGGAGGAGGAGGATCGAGGATCAAGGATCGAGGAGGAGAGGAGGAGGAGGAGGAGACGGAGGAGGATGAGGAGGAGAGGGGCAGGATCGAGGATCGACGACCGAAGAGGAGGAGGAGGAGGCGGAGGAGGAGGAGGAAACGGATGAAGAGGAGGAGGGAGGAGGAGGAGGCGAAGGAAGAGGCGGAGGAGGGGGAGGAGGATAGTGATAGCGACGACGACGATGATGATGCTGGAAATGATGACGATGCTGATGATGATGAGGACGATGACGATGACGTTGACGATGATGGTGATGCTGGTGATGATGGTGATGGCGATGACGATGGTGACGGTGATGATCATGCTGCTGCTGATGAGTATAATGGTGATGATCATGATGATGACGACGGCGACAAAGATGATGCTGATGCTGGTGATGATGATAATGTTGATGATAATGCTGATGCTGACTATGGTCAGGATGGCGATGATGTTCATGATGATGACGACGACGGCGACCACACCGACGACGATGATGTTGATGATGATGGTGATACTGATGACGGTGCTGATGATGGTGATGATGACGACGCTGATGATTATGATGCTGATGATGACGATGATGACGATCCTGATTATGCTGATGGTGACGATGCTAATCATGATGCTGTTGATGATGATTACGACGGCGATCATGATGACGCTGATACTGATGACGATGATGATGCTGATGATGTTGACGGTGATGACGATGATCATGATGATGCTGATGATGGTGATGATGCTGGTGACGACGATGCTGATAACGATGAAGATTACGATGCTGCTGGTGATGATGATGACGATTCTGCCGATGACGACGCTGATGCTGATGACGACGACGATGACGATGATGATCTTGCTGATGATGATCATGATGCTGATGCTGATGCTGACGGCAATGATGATGATGCTGCGCTGTTGATGATGATGATGATCATCATTATCCTGATCATGATAATGATGCCGCTGGTGATGATGATGATGCTTACGCTGATGGTGATGATGATGATGATGAAATGATGACGACGAGGATGCTGATGATGATTTTGATGTCGATGATGATGATGATTCTGATGGGAATGCCGACGACGACGAGGACGACGACGAAGATGACGATGACGATGATGAAGATGATGATGATGTTGTTGCTGATGAGGATGATGATGCTGCTGATGATGATGATCATGATGATGAAGGTGACGACGATGATGTTGATGATGAGGCTGATGATAATGATGATGCTGATGATGATGACGACGATGACGATGATGATCATGACCATGATCATGATGATGATCATAATGACAACGACGACGATGCTGATGATGCTGATGCTAATGATGATGATGATGATGATGATCATGATGATGATGATGATGATGATGATGATGACGATGACGATGATGATGATGATGAGGGTGATGGTGATGATGATGATGATGATGATGGGGATGATTTTGGTGCTGATGCTGATGACGACGATGACGATGATTATGTTGTTGAGGATGATGATGCTGATGATGATGATGATATGATGATGATGATGATGATGATGATGATGATGATGATGATGATGATGATGATGATGATGATGATGGTGATGATGATGATGATGATGATGATGATGGTGATGATGATGAGTACTATGATGATACAATTTGTTCTGGGTTTCGCACGCGCGGCGTCTTGGAGTCCAGGGTTGCGAGGATGTCTCAAGCGAAATGCACCAGACAATATCGTGCGCGATATCTTGGAGAGTTGCGAGGATGTCGCAGGTGAAACAGGCTGGACCACCTGTGTGTAGGAGTGGCGTCCTCCAGAACAGCGCGTGCAATACGTGATCACGTCATTTGAATATGACCGGTCCTCCTCGGGCAAAAACGATAAAGATATAGCAATTTGTCTGCACGTAGTTGGGTACAAGGAAGAGCAGGACGAGGACGTAAGGGAGAGGCCGCCGGCATCGGCGGGGAGAACATTGCATACCAAGGCATAGCGTAACGAACGGGTCCTCTTAGCCGTCCCACCGTGCCGGTCGCGTTCCAGACTGCCAGCGGGAGCTCGCCGGGCCCCGCCCAGCAGCCAGGTTGGCCCGCGGGCCTCAGATATTTGCATTTCGACCATGTTCGAGCAGGAAAATATGCATAGGAAGGAGAACTGCACGAAAAAACTGAGAAGATGTGTGAATTTGTGAAGCATATACATTGCAATCCGGCACACGGTGGGAAGGCTCACGTGGAAAATGAAGTACAGAGGGAGAGTGGAGAAGACGTGGAAATAGAAGTGCAGGGGGAAATTGGAGTAGACAAAGAAGAAATAGACAGGAGTACGTATTCGTGATAGCTCTGTGACCAGGTACATATACACAGAGACGCACGCATCTGTGCTCTCCTGGAGGTAATTCGTGCACACGATATGCCCCAGGAGAGGAGGGCCCGGGGGAAGAAGAGCAGGTGGAAATTAGGGCACAGGTGGAAATTGAAGAGCAGGTGGAAATTGAAGAACAGGTGGAACTTGAAGAACCCGGGGAAATTGAAGGACAGGTGGAAATTGACGCAAAGGGGGAAACTGAAGAGCACGTGGGAAATTGAAGTCATAGTGGAAATTGAAAGCACAGGGGGAAACTGAAGAGCAGGAGGAATTTGAAGTCATAGGAGTACGTGTTCGTGACCACCTGGTGACCGGAGGAGGAGAGGATGGTGTAGAGGTAGGAGTGCACGTGGATAGGATGCGCCTGCTCGTGGCCAGATGCCGTCTTCAGCGCGTCCGTGGCTGGCTATTGGTGCAGGTCCACAATTCCTTCTCGTCCTCCGTCTGAATAGCCCTGGCGTGCTCCAGGCGGATCCCGAGCTTCAACCCAGACCTCAGGATCTTGATCATCAGGATCCGTAGCGACTCAGGGGGCCAGGTCGGCCCATAGCAGTTCCCGTGGCCAGATCTGGCCCGCATTGGGCTTCGAGAACTTGGGCTTGAAGGTGCCGACAATGGGCTCCCAGTCGTCGTACGTCAACGACGTCACCTTCATGAGCGCCTTCTCGAGCTCTTTCGCGCCCCCAGTGTCCTCCTCCATTGCCTGCTGCGAGGGAGGCGCGGCGGCGGCGGCACCGCTGCCGCAAGGGAGCTGGCTCTGCAGGTAGAGCGGGAACTTCACGAATCCCCACACTTTGCAAGAGCAGCCCAGCGGGTGTGGCACCTGAACGCGATTCTTCTTCTGCTCCTCGTGCTTCTCTGGACCACCTCGCGCGCAGCATCTCGGAACCCAGATTCGCGAGAATGTCTCAGGCGAAACGGACTGGACCACCTCGCGCGCGGCACCTCAGATATCATAACTGCAAGGATGTCCCAGGCGAGACGCGCCGACCCACCCCGCGCGCGGCATCTCAAAGCCACGAACTGCGAGGCTATCTCAGGCGAAATGCGCCGGACCACCTCTCGCGCGGCACTGCGAAGACCAGGGAGAAGGAGGAGGAGGAGGAGGAGGAGGAGAAGGAGAAGGAGAAGGAGGAGAAAGGGTAACACGAAGAGGAGGAGGCGGAGGAGGAGGAGGAGGAGGAGGAGGAGGAGGAGGAGGAGGTGGAGGAGGAGGAGGAAAGTGAGGAGGAGGAGGGAGGGGAGGAGATGTGGTGGAGCTCCCTGGCATTCTCCCCCCCCCCCCCACCCTGCGGGCCCGCGGGGAGGCACTCCGCCTGGCATGCGCTCTGCTGTGTGGCCCCGCGGCGCGCGCCTGCCCAGGCCAGCGCCCCCTCCCCCCCCTGCAGCAGCCTCGTCCTCCACCCTCGATCTTCGATCGTCTCCCTCCTCCTCCTCCTGCTCCTCCTCCTCCTCCACCTCCTCCTCCACCTCCTCCTCCTCCTCCTCCTCCTCCTCCTCCTCCTCTTCGGTCCTCGATCACTGATATTATTCCTCCTGCTCCTCCTGCTCCTCCCTCCTCCTGCTCCTCCTCCTCCTCCTCCTCCTCTTCGGTCGTCGATCCTCGATCCTGCCCCTCTCCTCCTCATCCTCCTCCGTCTCCTCATCCTCCTCCTCTCCTCCTCGATCCTTGATCCTCGATCCTCCTCCTCCTCCTCCTCCTCTTCCTTCTCCTTGCTGCTTAGGCGTTTTGCGTTCGGGCAACTGGGGCCGCCCGTTTTCCGCGAAACCCCAGCCGCTTCCTTATGTTCAGCGGGCGGCTGTGCACATGTTTTCTCCATGTCCTCCGCCGGGGGAACCCCGTCTTGCCTGACATAGGCGGCTGAGGCGGCGCAGGGCGGAGGCTCGCAGTGTCCCCCGCGTCGAGCGGCGCAGATCCTTCTTCGCAACCGCCACGGCGAGTCCGACATGGCAGGGCAAAATGGCAGAGGACGCTCATCCTCTCGCCAGCCGCCCCCTGCCAACATGTGGCGATGCGAGAACCCAGGGTGCCGATGCAACAGGAACCTGCAGCACTGGACGAGCATTGCGGCAGAGCGAAGACAGGTGCAAGTTCCAGAATGCTCCATGGTACCAGAAGGGTGCGGGCAGTGACGGCGTCGCTCCTGTTGCCAGCTCTCCTTCTGCCCAGGGCACACACAACCTATGCAGCGGTGGCTCGGAGGCCTTGGTCAGATTCGCAGAGCAGAATGGAGATGAGTCCATTTCCAAGAAGTGCCGTGGCACGATCGCATCCAGACAGAAGGCCGCCGCTTCTCAGCAGGAGCTTCCGGTCGAGGAACTCAAGTCCATGGTGCTGCTGGCAGAGACGAGTGGAGCCGGTGCGACCGCCAAGAAGTACAAGGCTCCGCTCGACAAGCAGAAGGCATCGTGCTCGACGGTGCCTGCTCAGACCCGAGCGGATAAGGCGAACACGAAGGTGCTGCAGCTCACGAAGTTGTTGGGTGATGAGCAGAACACGCTCGCGGAGCTGCTCGAGCAGGCGGAGGAGCAACGGGGCACTGTGCAGTCCTTGCTTGCTCGCGGAGCTCGAGGCGGCGGAGTCGGAGTGCAAGGCGGCGGTGGCGGCGCTGGCTGCTGGTGCAGGTGCGGTGGCGAGTGATCATTCCAAACCGAAGCTGTCGCTGGCGAAGCTCATGGACGGCGAACTGGCGGACCTGGACCTGGGCGGTGCGGCCTTTCTCGGCTGCGCGGAGTTCGAGGTGCTTGGGCCCCAAGCGCTGGGGGAGTTTAAGAAAAGGAGGTCATGCTGGATTATTGCCGCAGCATGGCGACGCATTTTTTCGGCGAGGTCAGGGCCAAGGGCGAAGACGCGCAGAAGGAACGCCAGTCGTTGCAGGAGCGCTTGGCGGCCAAGAAGAGGAAGGCGGACGAGGGGCAGCCCGCGCAGAGCGACGCCAAGTCGGAGGCGGAGCAGAGCGCGGCAGCAGGTCCAGCGGCGAAGGCGCCTGGCGCGACGGCGGCTGGCGAGGCCGCTGGCGCGGCAGGCGCTGGCGCGACGGCGGAACTCAAGGCGCCGGCGAAAGCCGCAGTGCAGGCGGCCAGGCCAAGGCGGCGGGCAAGGACAAAGGCGGCGCGCCAAGAGCATCTGATACGCACGAGGCCCTTTACTGGTAGGTGTTGGTCGCACAGGCGTGCATATGTGGCCGTGTTTATGTGCTGCCGCGTGCAAATGTGTGTCTGCACACGTTGGTGCTGCGATCATTCGCGCAATTTTCGATTGCAGCTAGTTGCTCGTTAGTCTTTCAGTGGTCCCTTGCGCGATTTCAACACTGTACATAAGTATCAAGGTGTGCGATCGGGATGGACAAGTCGTTGTCCAAGATGGCCGACTGTCTAAAACAAAAAAAAAGGCGAGACCCCGCAGCGTCTTTAGCCCCCAGCCGCGCGGCATCCTGAAGAAGATGAGCGGAGCGCGCGCCAGTCGGATGCAGCTCCACCCCAGTTTTGAACTACCCTCTTGTGCGGATGAGAGCGCAGGCGAGTGTGACTACTCGGTGGCCTGCGCAGCATCTTGTGAGACTCCCACCTCTTCGCTGCCTCCCAGCATCGCATCTACGGGGGCAAGTGGTGCCTGCGGTGCGACGTACAGTGCGTCCGAGTTGGCGGGCGAGTGCGAGCGCGTGCAGGCGGCGGCTGCTGGCCCTGTGGCAGCCGATTCGGCGACTGCGAGCTCCTGCTGTACCTCGCGATCAGCATCGCGGTGGACGGGGGCCAGCTCGACGTTTTCCGATTCTGAGGTCGCCTCCACCACGGGCGGAGGGCCCAGGTGCCGTTCCGCGCCCGAGCCCAGCGCGGCCCGTCCTGCGAATTATCCAGGGGGGGGAGCAAGACATCGCCAGCGTTTTTGTATATATATATATATATATATATATGTATATGTATGTATGTATGTATGTATGTATGTATGTATGTATATATATATATATATGTTTTAGGTGCTCCCCCCGGCCGCCTTGCACGGAGGGCGCGTCCCTGAGAGTAGAGTCATGCAGCGCTACCCGCTGAAACTCCTTCGAGGAACGGCCGAGCAGGGCGGGGTCGCGCGTGGTCTGCCTTCGGGAACACCACGTCGCGAGCGAAGCCGCTGCGCGCGAGGCGACGTCGTGGCGCGCTCGGCGTGGATGGAAGGCGATGTTGTCTCCAGCGCGAGCAGGCAAAAGCAGGGGCTCCTCGGGGGGCGTCGGCGTCCTTGCGAGATCATACATGGGGCTGCGCGAGCCCCCATGGGGCTTCGCCCTGGTCGAGGGGGGGGCGCGCAACGCCCGCGCGCATCTCCCTGGGGGGCCTCCCCTCTTAGTGGCTCCTGTGCATATGTGCGACAGCGAAGGCCTCTCGGGCAAGAGCGCGGGCATCTGGAGTATTCTGGGGGCTGTGGTTCAGAACTCTGGGATGCAAGCTATCTTGGGTGGTGATTGGAACTTCTCGCCCGGGCAAATGTTAGCTTCTGGGTTTGCAGAAAAACTGAGGGGGGGGCATCGTGCGGCTAAATGGCGGGGGTGCCTGTCTGTCTCTCGGGGGCTGGAGCGCGCTGGATTATTTTGTCTGCTCGGGCGGCGTATCCAAGGCTACCCACTCGACCGAGGCGCTGAAGGATGCACCGCTGTCTCCGCGCAGGCCCGTGCACCTCCAGCTCTACCCGCAGTCGGCCCAACTGAGTGCTCTGTCGCTCCGAAAGCCACCTCCCGTCCCCGCGGAGAGGCCCGGGGGGGCTGCGAGGGGGCCGCCGAACTGGGGCGCCCTGGAGGCCGCGGCTGATGGCTGCCTTGGAACGGCCCTCTCGGGCAGGGCGGAGGAGGCGCAGGAGATGCCGGTTTGGGTGCGCGGGGGGTGGGCCAATTTAGCGGAGTCTGAGCTGTGCGATTTGGCCCAGACGGTTTTCGCGGAGCTCGCTGCAAGTCGCCCCGGCTGCATCGGGCCCCGATCATCACGAACGACAGCCCTCCGCGCAGACATCCGCGTTCGCATGCTGAGACATCGGTTTGCCGAGAGCTCCAGGATTTGATTTTGGCTGTTCAGGCGAAGGACTGCAGGGTCCTGGATATCCGAAACGAATTCGTGATCCAACTGATTGTCTGAGCTCAGTGGCTGACGATGACTTGAAGGCGCGCCTGGCAACTGTGCAGGCGGTTGCTGAGCTGTTGCCCGTGTTCTGGTTTAGCAGCGTAGAGAATGTGAGCAGCTGGCAGTTGCAGACCTTCGACTGCTACGAGCTGGCGCTGTCTTTTCTAGCGACTTTCCAGGCCGAAGCCCGACGGCCAGGCGGGCAGGGGCGGAGATATTGGCTTCTCAGCAACATCAAATCGGGGGCCAGGAACGCGCATGTGGCCTCCAAGGAGGCCCCTGGTTGGAAAGCCACGACCACCCTGTTGGCGGGAGGCTTGGTCCTGTCGGACCTTCTGTGTCTCTTGTGCCAGGAAGCCAAAACGTGGTCCGCCCTTTGGGAGGCCACCAAGGAGAATCCCGATCGCATGTTTCAAGGGCCCTGCCAACCGCTGCCGATGATCCAGCCCGGGGCGATTCGGGCAACGTCGGCGGCGTGCAAGGCACGCGCGGCGCTGGCAGTGGATGGCTTTCACATGCGGCACGATTCGCGGCTCTCTGATCCTGCTCTGCGCGCGGTCTCCTTGCTGTTTGCGATATTTGAACCCTTGTCGTCTTTGCCGCGCCAGCTCCAGATAATCCAAGGTGTCCTTGTATCCTAGGCGCGCGGCGGATGGAGGCCAATTGGGCCGTCTGTTTCCACGCGCCGATTGCGCGGGAGATGCTCGAGGGATTTGGCGCCGGCCTGGGAAGGGGAGAATGCGCGCATGTTCTTCGATGGCAGCGCTTTCGCTTGAGCCGCGGACACAGCGCGGCGACAGTCGGCCCGCGCAGAGATTAGCAGGCATAAAGTGGGAATTATCAGCGTTGTTGCTATGGGGCTCGACGAAGTTCTACGAGCAGTTTTCTTTGTCTGGGTTGGAGGTGGAATGCAGAAAGTACGGGTTGCCGATGCAGACCGCGCAGCTGTGCCTTACCGCGTGCATGTGTGTTTGTTCTATCAGCATGGCCTCTGCTGTGGCGGGGCCTTGCTTCGCTTCGAGAGGAGTAGTTGCGGGGTGCTCCATGGCCGCGAGTTTCGTTCGGGTTCACCTCCCTGGGCCCCTCGGCGCGACGTGGCGTCCTCGGGGTGTTTCCCTGGCGCAGTTCATTGATGATGCGGGCCCGGGCTCCACGGGCGCGGCTGGGGAGGTGATCCAGGGTGTGAAATCGGCAGCTGCGCGACTTGAGCATGCGCTGGTGCAGGAATGCCTTAGCTCGATATCGCTCTCCAAGGCTGG